CGAAACCATGATATGACTATGAGAGGCGCCGTAGTGGAGGGCTCCGGAAATTTTGACCATCTGGGGTTCTTTAACGTGCACCCAAATCTGAGCACGCGGGTCTAAGCATTTTCGCCTTCATCGAAAATGCAGCCGCCGCAGCCGGGACTCCATCCCGCGACCTGCGGGTCAGCAGCTGAGTGCTTTATCCACTATAGACCACCATGGAGGGGCGCAGGCAAAGTTGCTGTATATATGTTAATGAAAAGTAGTTTTAGTTAAGGCTGTGCTAAACAAAAAAATAAACAAGGCCTTAAAATTTTCTGCCTTCACTGATGCATATTTGTCATTAGTATACTGGGCATACTGAGCTGCTATAAAAGCTGCGAGACAGCTTTCGAAAAAAGAAACACTGCCTTACACATGATGGGGAAAAACCGCATAATTAAATGTTGCCCACGAACTTGGATGCAGTCGCACGACAATAATGGGGAATAAAAGAAGGAAAAACGAAATACGGTGAAAATATAAAACATAATTAGTGTTGGAAAGTGAAAAATATCATAAATTCATGTTGAACGCAAGAATTATACTGAAAATATCTAAAGTATTGGAATGGAACACGAAATGTTTTAGTGTAGGGTGTTTGTACGTCTGTGTACAAATGCTTTCACACACGTATCATTGAGATAGGTGGATGCACACAGTATACGGTGTTAATATTTGCAGACATTCGCTTCTCTCTAAGGGATTTAAAGTGATTTCTCATGAATTCAAAGGTTTCTTCTCCGCTTTCAGCCCGAGAACCTGATGACCTTGCTTGGGACAACGAGCATGGTATGTACTCAAACATTACTTTGTATGTAAAACCGAAACGGTTGATGTAAATGGCACTGGGAATGTATGCTTTGAACCAGTAAATACAGTATGACTGCGCAAACTGCGCCATATCGTATTGCAATGAACACATGCGCGCATACTAGAGAGCGCTTCCACTAGGTTTGCCGTGAGTCATAGACACAAAATTATAATCATCATGAACACACGCAATCGCATGGCACGCGCTCTATTTACCCTCGTCTTCGCCTTGGTCCTCTTCTGCTTCGCTCCTAAACACGTGCGCTGATTTGTCCGGTGTGCAAGGCAGTAACCCTGATGGTTGAAGGAACGAGTACAGAAAGAAATAATGAGAGATATTGAGGGGAATTCTTAGGTGAGATTCGAACCCACGCGCCCAGGATACGCTGAGTACGTGGTTACCAGATCTTCTGTACTATCCGGGTCCACTATAGTATAGCATAGGTGAAAGGAAGTAAGGGTCAGAAGGAGGGTTACGGAAAAGAAAGGAGAACGAGTAGAGAGCGAAAGAGATTAAAAAAAATGAAGAAAGAAAAAATGATAAAAGGCGAGAAAACGACTACACGGAGAGAAAGACAAAAATAGAGAGAAATAAAAACAATAAAGTAAGAAGGTGAAAAAGAATTATGCAGAATGAGAGGAACTGGTAGAAAGAAACAGACACACAAGAAAGAGATGAAAAGATTTCCAGCATCTCCACGGAGTAGAAAATGGTGAGGTGGGTGAAGCTCCGGAGGTTTCGCGGTGATACCGTGAATCCTCCGAGAACCTCACACGACAAAACTCCGAGAACCTCGCCGCTTCCCGCTTTCGCGTTCAGTGGTCCGCTTCTCGTTGAGCCCGTCTTGCAGCGGCGTCCTTGGCACGTACCGTCTCGGGATCCGCCCGGCGCCGCGCTCGCGCACACGTACGACGACGATCCAGGAAATTGAGAGATAACGGACGCGCCGGCGCAGCCCTACGCAGCAGCCAATCGGAGAGTAATCGCACCTCAAACGCCATCTACTGTCCGTTCACCCAATCGCCATATCGCACACATCTCTATGAGACAGCGCCATCTAGAAACTAGACGAGAAATGGTGATGACGACAAAGAATGCATACAGCGCCATCTAGTATTCGTACCACAACTGCAATTTGCTGCATCTTTATGTGACAGCGCCATCTATTGTATGACAACAGAGACGCTACTGGGTACGTCGGAGAGACGAGGGATTGCCCTAGACCATAAGGAGCTTCGCCCCTAAAAAAAGAACAGGGAAACTAGGGGTCAGAGAAGGGAGACTTAGCCAAGCCACGACCAGCTAGGTGCCCACCAGCTCTGTCGTGACCCAGGCTTGCGCGACTTGGTGCTAAGCCAATTTTTTTTTATAAAGCTCCTTCAGTAAGGAAGTCGGTGCTCAAGAACGACTACCCGTCATTTTTTTAAACAATGCACATTGATTATATGCTGCCTCAAAAAGGACGGAAAGTCGTTCTTGAATCCAATCTATCTTAGACACTCTGAAAGCGCATGTTGATGCGACTCTCAATAACTGTTTCTTGCCTTTTTCCTCACGCAGTTTTCGCACACTACAAGACTTGCAAGTGCGACAACCTGGCTTCTTTGTTAGGTAGGTTTGTAAAAGCGTTAGTTGTATGCATAGATAAAAAAAAAAAACATCATGCGTGCGCGATGCTGTTGTCTAACTGTAGATGATCTGAAAGTCGTCCTTGCTGTTTCGAAAAGCTTTGGAATCACGACGCAGCCATCGCGCATCAGCACAGAAACATGATTCTGGTCGAGAGAAACGTGATTCCTAGGCAAGAGGGTTTCATAGTTTCCCTTTTCCTGCCGTACCCGACGCCTCTGTGCAACTGATTCGACTCTCTTGAGAGTGGTCCAACTTGTCACGTGTCTAACTCTTTAGAGAGACGAGATGACTCATTGGAGATTATACTCTTAAAAGAGTCGTGAGACCGAAAGAGAGCTAACGTGAATCCTTAAAGAGAGGCATGTATCTGTTGCTATTTTCAGGACTCGCCTAAAAGTGTAGCACATATTTTTTTTCAGTGGTGTCTGCTGTACATAAACAGAGTGTGGTCAGCAGTTCATTTCAATTACTAGACCACTTTTATTTTCCAAAATAAACAATCGTTTACTGTGCTACACTCCTTGTGCAGGCGTTCGTGCTGTCGAGAATGCACGCGTTTTACTGCGCGGTCACGGCACCAGACTACTGGAAGACCCAGCTGAAAGAGCAGACACTGGCCGTCGACGAGAAACCTGCTGTTGTGCACAGCGAGTGATCGCCGCGTGTTGCCTTTCCAGGAGCCATTTCTCGAACTCTCCAATAAACTCGCACGGCTGCAAGCTTGCTCCATCGTATTGCCAGTAACCCCAAGATAACGCATATTCCAGCACACTAATCTTTGTATAGCAGGTACTCACGCATCCTTTTCCCCCTGCCCAGCTTATCTAATCTTAACGATAAGCAAACATACGTACAATATACGGTTATCAGACCTACATGCCGTTTGGTCATGTGTCTACTTTCACCAACAATAATAACACAGCAGTTAAGTCCAGGTTCGCCGTGTCGCAGATAGAAAATTATCATAAAGCGGCACGCACTCCACCGCCGCCCAAGCAATAACTAGGTATTGAACAAAAAGTCTGAAACGTGCGTCCCTTAATCAGCGTTTGCCGCCCGTCTGTTCCCTTGTTAAGTTTCAGTGAACCAGAGTGGTAAGCACTAATCCGATTTCTGTGGCACACTGCTATAGGAGAGAGCAAGAATGGCCATATATATATATTATAGTATAGTGTTAGTATTAGTATAGTATATTGTAGTGACGCCGTGACGGGCAGGAAAGAGTCAAGCTAGAGGGTAAAAGTCTACCCAAATCGGTAACCAAGCTACAGGTGCCTAGAAGTCCTGCTATCACATAAGCTTGCGCGGTTTAGTGCATGCGTTTTTTTTTTGCATTCGTGATTTGCAATAAAAAAAAACCAAGTTGACATCCTGTGCCCGATTTCAACAATTTCTCACTTTACAAAACTGCACGTTGAACTCTTGCAGGGCATGCTGCATAGTGCCTTCTATCGCCGAATCTCATCAAGTGTGTCGACGTTCAGACCGCGCTGCGCAATATAGATCAGTGAAGGCATATTTACATTGCACAGCCGCATATAGAACCAGACTGTGCTCACGGTACGAGTCGTTTGACTGTGATCATGTCATAGCATCGCTGCTCGCCAGCAGGTTCTACCTGAAGTGTTAAATTGCGACTTACTTGGGTCGATGGCTAAATTGGTTAACGTGGTTGTAGGAGGGGGTGTTAAATGAGTGAACACGTACACACGTATGTGAAAGGGCGGCGCTGGTCGAAGGGACGTCGATCATTGTGTTTGTGGATTCGTTGGAATTCATTTCACCGCGACCTTGGACGTCGACGCGCCGTTTAAACCAACCGACGAGCGGCAACTGAGCGAGCGAGCGCCGACCTTGATTATATATACAGCACGACGGGGCATGCACTGTCAGGTGTTGAATGTTCTCGAAGCGCGACGCCACATGCGCGTCCACTGGAGAATCAGGAGAATTGTAGATGTCGAACGCGGTGTGTAGAGGAGGAAGGGTGCACAGATGGTGGAGGAGTGAAGCGCGCGCGGTGTGTAGAGGAGGAAGGGATGCACAGATGGTGGAAGAGTGGGCGACGGCGCGACGGCGCATGCGCGCGCGTCAGCTGTCGAATGTTCGAGAAGCGGTGCGGACGGCGCACTACAAGGCGCGAGTATAAGATGCTCCACATCTAAAATTGCTTCATCGCCATTTGTGTGGTTGGTGTACGTTGATGGTGCCGCGACGCTCTGACGCGTGCGATTTTGCGCGCGACAACAAACACGTTACTCAACATTAAGTCAGATTTATTCGCGCAGAAAATGCAAAGGTATATTTCTGTAATAGTCACGCGATGAAAATCTTACGGCAAAAACGATGAAATCATTCGCTTGCTTAAGTACAGCGCCATCATGATGCATCATGGCACTCGCGAGGCTGTGTCAGTTTTCCCATCTAGTATAGACATAAAACGTATACACGTCATTAAATATAACGACCGAACGAATGGTATTGGTATAAATCAACGTAAAATGAAAACAGCGAACAAAGGCGGCGCCCTTCAGTATCCGTCGACGATGCCGCCCTTGCGGAAGTCGGCGACCGCGTAGATGACGCGGTCCTGCGCACGCGCGATGGCGTTGACCGCCGCTGGTCGCCTGTCGATCGGCTTCACCACGTGACCCCGCCGCCGGAGGGACTCGAGTACCTCCTGTGACGTCACGGAAAGAATTGTGTACAATGTTAACCTAATCGACTCTGCAGGAGACAGGCAGGGGTACTGACATTTGACGAGATACTGGCATGAAAGTTTTTAGTTGTTTTTCTGCGTGAAGTGAAAGGCCAACCCCTTCAAGACCCTAAAAAATGTACTGATATGCGAGAGTGCATTTTAACAAAGCTATTGCAGATTTTTCTTAAAGCTATTTTCGGTTCCTACTGTACCTTCTCGTCACAACACGGCACGAACTTCTCGTAACGTGCTCGAGCGAGATGTTGTGAAATTTCCACGCCACTTCCTCACAGTGGCTCCGTTGGTGACGCATAAGCAGCCATTTTGAATGTTTTGGTCAGCCAGATTGAAATTTTTGGTTCCTGTCGTCTTCACTATCAGCCAGACTGCTGCGGGAAGTCACCAATTAGTACTGTAGCCTGACGTCAAGCTATAGTGTCGGTGGATGATTTCAATGTCGAAATAAAGTATCTTATTAACATATGCTAAGCTTCAAACTTGCGCAGAGCCGCCTCTACATAAAGGACATTTGTATGGCAGATCGAGTGAACTCACCTCCGAAAAATGCTGTCAGTACCTTTTTTAATGATCCGACACGTTAAACTCGAAAATTTTGTTTTCGAGAGGACGAATGGTACTACGCGCCTCGACTGTCTGTAGACTTTTTTCACGAAAGGCTTACTGACCGCAACCGAAAACCCTCTGGGCTGTGGTAAACAAATGTGGACCCCCCCCCCCCCCCCAAAAAAAAAAGAACAATGCACTGCCGAAGCAATGACGTCAGCCTTCAAAGACCCGTGCTATACAGTCTAACAAGGAGATTTTCTTCCTTTCCTGCGAGAAGGTCTACAGCGTGACGTATATATGTGCAACGCATCAACCGATAGGAGCCACTTTGCGTTTTTCTAGTGTTAAGCTCAAAGACCCGTCTGTTCGATGTGCGGAAACAGCTACCGCATCGCGATGGAGGCGAAACGGGGGACAACCGTGTACCGAGAGTATGGGCGCGCGTGAAAATACCCCAGCTGGTCACAAAATGGTGCATTACAATTGACAGGTTCGGGGCACTTCCCGTAGCAGTTTTTCTGTCCCATGCGCAGCAAGTGTGTTTCCCGTATACGTTTGACTGCAGACCCGAAGCAGCTCCGCCGTCAGATCGCCTCCACGGAGTAGTCGTCTTATATACTCAGCGAAACGGGGCCGATTTGGCAGAAAGTTGCAAGCACATCCCGCTTGCGATTTCCGGTGCCCTTCACGCCGTCCCTCATAACCTTATCGTGGTTTTGGGACGTAAAGCAATAATGATTAATATAACAAACTTATTGTGAATTTCGCAACTCCACATGAAAATTCGTGACTAGGGCACGTAAATATTTCGCTGTGCTGATAGACCTACAGGGGGGGTAAGCATAATACAAATCTCTGCATGAATTTTTGCGCTCTATACAGGGCAAGTTTTACAGATAAAACGATCATACTCAACTTGCTCGTGTTAATGAATTATGATAATATTCAACTCATTTCCTACTGATTGGTCTGCCTTGCTGCCCGTTCAGACTCCTCCAGGTATAGACGGTCTAAAGCTATTCAGCTTGGTCGTTATGCACGTGCTGTATACGATTAGCTTTCGGGGATCGTCATCGATTGTCCTATACCTCGGAAAAGTGCCTTTCGTAGACGACCACGTTCGGCAGCAGCTGATGGTGCAGGCGTGGAGCCTCGATGGCCTCTTCGACGCTCATGTCGCGGCGCACGATGTTGTGAATCACCTGCACGCGTCACCAACAGGCAAGATCTTTACACCTTGTGATTAGGATGAATCAAGACAACAGCTGCGTCTACTAAAAAATAATACTGATAATAATAACTTTGACGGAGTCCTCTGTGAAGAGCGGACAGCCAGAGTCAGCATTCTAAAGTTCGCGCAGATTGCCCGGATGTCTCGTTTTGTTCTCCCAACGATGGCCGAATGAACTCGTTGGAGTTCCCGGATGGTTAACGGAGCTGCATTTTGGATCAATATCACGCGAAGGCTGTCGACAACGTTTAGCTAAAAGCATTTGATGCTTAAATCGTGACGCCAAAGAGAGGCGCTTCTGAAAACCAAACACCTTCGTCATTTTACAGCCAGCCGAGAGACCAATGTAGGGTAGTACATTATAAAAATTAACAAATAACCACTTGGCTAACTTTGGCTACATGAGTATCGGTATATAAATACGATTTCACATAAGATGTGGGCACCCCAATCTTGGGCTGTTAAACGAGTGTTTTCTTTTCGCATATCGCGGCGTGAAGTATTGAGGTGATGAAACGTCGAATGCACGAGCCTGACCATTTTCATGCACATACTGTAGAGGTTCTTGAGAGGGGAAAATGATGAAAAAGCGCGGAGCTGTTACTATCTTTCAATACAAAGGCACCTACACGGCTCCACGCGGGGTATGGGGGAGGGGGAGTGAAAGAAGGCACATACGTCTACCATATAGTACTGTTTGTTAGGCTTAAAAATATACAGAACAGTGGCTTAGCATGGTCGGCAGGGACACTCACTCGTAAAATGGTAATTTATGCACACAACTCACAGAAGCGGCCGAGCTGACGATGCGCGAGCCCCCCGACGCTCCTATGACGAGCTGCACATCGCCCCGGCGGTCGACGAGCAAGCCGGGTGCCATGGCGGTCACGGGCCGCTTGCCGGGCTCGATGTAGTTGTTCTCGTTGGGCTGGTAGCCCGGCATCGGGGGCCGCGGTAACGTGAACTCGGACATGTGGTTGTTCAGCACCACGCCCAACGTCGGGGACACGCACCGGGCGCCGAAACTGGGAACAGACCAAATTTGCGACGTTGCGAGAAGCAGCGAAATACGTCTCTGTGTGTTTCCTTGTGTATACTCCTCGTGCAACCTATAATTCGTTTGATAATAAGGCTGTGCAGCTCACCGCAGCTGTCATTACGTTACAATATCACGTGCTACGTCACGCCAACAGGCAGAAGAAGAGTGTTCTACACTCACCGTCATGTGTATATACTGGCGGCGCTCACTGACACTCCCACGTTCAAATGCACCCCATCAAGTTGATGGGAGGGGTAGCCGTCGTGTTAGCTCACTTATAGAGCATCGTGCGTGCGTGCGTGTGCGCGCGTGTGTGTGTGCGTGTGGGTGTGTGTGCATGTGTGCGCACGCGTGTGTGTGCATGTGTGCGTGCGTGTGTGTGCGCGCGCGTGTGTGCGCGCACGCGTGTGTGTGTGCATGTGTGTGTGCGTGTGTGTGCATGTGTGCGCGCGTGTGTGTGTGTGCATGTGTGCGTGTGTGTGCATGTGTGCGTGCGTGTGCATGTGTGCGTGCGTGTGTGTGTGCGTGTGTGTGTGCGTGTGTGCGTGCGCGTGTGTGTGTGCGTGTGTGCGTGCGCGCGCGTGTGTGTGTGTGTGTGTGTGTGTGTGTGTGTGTGTGTGTGTGTGTGTGTGTGTGTGTGTGTGTTCCTTGTGGAACCCATTGCATATACTTTCGTGAAGTTAAATCATGCATTTCAAGTCGAAAGGTACGTGACTGCAAGCAATATAAGTAAACGAATAAATAACCTAACACACAAAGATGCAATCAACGTTTCAAAGTTTTTCACGGATATTTACTCGCCAATCAGAAATGTCGGTACGTTATAAGATACTCCTTCTCATAGTAAGTCTCGACACGTACTGCTCTCCGAGGGAGCCCGTCATGGAGACGGCGTCGCCCGCCGAGCCAAGGAAGGCGAAGTGCGATGAGCCGTGCTGCATGCGACCGAGGCGGTGTAGGCCGTAGTGGCGGGGGTCGTCGTACGTGCGCTGGTCGTCGATGAGGCTCAACGTGCGCCGCACGTGCTCCACCGACGTGATGCTGCGCATGCTCTGCGAGGCAACCGGGAAGACACAAAACAAGGCTCGCGCGTGTATTCTATAGACCCTTTCACTGTTAACAAATATGGAACCTTGGTGACTTCCGGTTTAGTCCACCGATATGCCTGAATAGCATAGGTGAGCAAGAAGAGTGTTCGAAAATAACCCGCTGATTTTCTACACTTACCTTCTATCATTTGGTAAAATATATTCAAATAAATGTTCTTTTTAGCTACCTAAAAACTTTAAGAGATTACCTTGAACATTACGCACGTTCTTTTTATCTGAAAAATAATAAGAGATTTTTTTTTACTTTTGAAAAAACATGAAAACGTTGTTTCAGTTTTGACGAGCTGGTAAATGTGGTGACCGGAAGTTGTATTTGGGACGCAACGCTTGCAATATTTGAACTGTCTATAATAAGCAGCCCCGTGAGCTGGTTAAGAAATGTCGTGTCACAGCGTAGAATCAACAATGCCTCCATGGTTCGCACGCGCGTTTTGCCAGGTGACGGTCCTCAGACTCACAGTGCTGCACCTCTTGAACGCCCCGTTTAAGCAGTAATTTAAATGATACATAAGGGCAAACAGAGGTCCGAATCGATGAGCAGTCATCGAATATAGAATCCCACTCGAGCCGGAAAGTGGCTACGGTAAAATTTATTGTTCGTTGGCATCTCGTTATTTTTCTGGGGATATCTGAGGTGTGGTGGTAAATTGTGCCGAGTATTTTTCGCGCTGCAAAATTGCACATTACCAAAGAACGCAGGAGACACCAACTGTATAGTTTGTACAGTCTTTGTCATAATATTTTGAAAAAAAAACGATGTATTAACAATGATATAAGCATTTCGTTTCAAAACTGGTTCAATAGGACATGTCTGTATGCACAATTTTTACAGCTATTAGAAGTGTGTCGCCGCTACAAGGGGTCACAGAAACACTGCTAGTAGGTGCATTCCGCTTCAAAAATTTTGAGACCAAGAGAAACTACCAAAACCTAAATATTTCTGCTTCTTAGGCAGGAATTCGGGAAATTAGATTTCTAACCTGTTCTCAAACAGGCAAGCAACATGTGCTGTTCGATTTGACCGTGTGCAGTAATAAGGCAATTCCAAGTATTCCCCCAGCTGACGGCCCATAAACTTTTGGCATCGACTGTACGTATAGTTACTTGAGAAGACAATGGACAGTGCGAAATCTGAAAATATAGACATACTAAAAAGTATATATATATATATGTGTGTGTGTGTGTGTGTGTGTGTGTGTGTGTGCGTGCGTGCGTGCGTGCGTGCGTGCGTGTGTGCGTGTGTGTGTGTGTGTGTGTGTGTGTGTGTGTGTGTGTGTGTGTGTGTGTGTGTGGTGTGTGTGTGTGTGTGTGTGTGTGTGTGTGTGTGTGTGTGTGTGTGTGTGTGTGTGTGTGTGTGTGTGTGTGTGTGTGTGTGTGTGTGTGTGTGTGTGTGTGTGTGTGTGTGTGTGTGTGGGTGTGTGTGTGGTGTGTGTGTGTGGTGTGTGTGTGTGTGTGTGTGTGTGTGTGTGTGTGTGTGTGTGTGTGTGTGTGTGTGTGTGTGTGTGTGTGTGTGTGTGTGTGTGGTGTGTGTGTGTGTGTGTGTGTGTGTGTGTGTGGTGTGTGTGTGTGTGTGTGTGTGTGTGTGTGTGTGTGTGTGTGTGTGTGGTGTGTGTGTGTGTGTGTGTGTGTGTGTGTGTGGTGTGTGTGTGTGTGTGTGGTGTGTGTGTGTGTGTGTGTGTGTGTGTGTTATAAGCAATAGTCGCAAGAACTGAAGCTAAACTGAACACGCTGTGAAATGATAGTTCTGTGCTAAAGCCTAACTATTTATGCAACACTCCGAACACACATACGGACAGTCCGTCGGGCCAGTTGGTCTACTTTCAGACCTTCATCTTGTCGGTCAACCATCTAGTTTGTTGGCTAGTCCAGTTGGTCTACCACCAGACCTACATCTTGTCGGCCAACCATCTAGATGCTTGACTAGTAGGTTTACCAGCAGTATTCACGTTTCGTACACTCTAAACACGGATGAACGCAGGAGTGCATACCGCGGATAGGTTTACGAAGTCCTCGTCGGAGAGCTCGTTGAACTTGGCGTACGCGTACTTGAAGCTCTCGACCATGCGGTGGAAGAGCAGCTCTTGAGAGTGCGGAGCGCCCATGTGGTTGAGCAGTGCGGCCGCGTACAGCAGCACGGGACCCGAGCTGGGAGCGGGTGCGCTCTGGAGCCGCGAGCCATCGACCAGCTCGGACTCGACGGGCGCCCGCCACTTGGAGATGTACGATCGCAGGTCACGCTGCGTCAGGATGCCACCTGCGAGCAACGTGGATGCAAGACGCAAAGAAAAAAAGTCAATTTCGACTTAACGACATTCCAATGATTGCGATAGCAACAAATTGGGATGTTATACGAAACAGGCTACCAAGTACTTCCTCTAAGACCTGATCTGGCGTAACCGCTGACGTAAGAGAACATGGCCGCTCCAGAGAGAGACGCGACCTTCATGCTGTCTATCGTTTTGACGCAAAGGAAGAACTCACTGCGGCGTTCGAAGCAGTCGTCCCGCTTGAGCCGTTTCGGAGAACCCTGACCTTTCACCGACAGTGGCCGTTTCGACGCTGCCCGTGCCATGGGTGCCTGTTCTAGGTCCTGTTTGGCCGTCTTTTAATGATTGCGATAGCAACTGATTTAATTGTAATGCGATATAGGCTACCAACTACTTCCTCTAGGATCTGATCGGGCGTAATGGCTGGCGTAAAAGAACATGACCGCTCCAGAGAGAGAAGCGACCTTCATGCTGTCTATCGCTTTGACGCAAAGGAAGAGGTGATACCACAGAACGTACTGTAGGGTATGAGCCGTCTGTCTACTTCGCGCGACAATGAACGTTTTCTACGCTTGCAGAGCTACCAGCGACAGCTCTTTCGCGCTTTCACTCGTGCATAGGACGCGCAGGCTTATGTTAATAATTTAGATTTTATACGGTGATGGCAAGAGTGCACCTCAGTTGTCCATGTGATAAAAAACCTTGTAAATTATCACTTCTCAATCTGACTAACGTTTTTACCACGTCTTATAAATGCAGAACAAACGGGAGCCCGTTATGAAGATTCACGTGCGGATGAGTAAATGTGGCGACGGATATCGAACGTGCAAGTCATTGACCTGTAAGGGTTGAGCTGAGATGCCAAGGCTTAGTGGTAAGCCGACTTAGTTGCGCGCTATAGCTAAATGTTGGGGGAGTGAAGCAGCACAGGTTTTGTCCGACGGGTTACTGGATAGCTCGTTACCAACTGGTTAAACTGAGTGGAATCTCACTGGCCAAAGATGGTCATCCGGGCATAACTTGCTGATCCGTTTCTTTAAACGAGGCCTATAACGCTTAATGCTGCTTCTTGTGGATTCTTGGGAAGTTGCGTATTGGTAGGAGGGTCGCCCCGCTAGACGACGACAGCGCTGCTGCCGACAACAGTATTTTAAGTTTGAGTTTCACACCCGGTGGCCAACATCAGCGGCGCTCGTTTGCCAACTGATGCGATTTGCCTTGTATGACCTTTTTGTTTTTCAAGAGTCCCAAGCTGTTCATTCATTTAGCGATTCAGAACATATTTCCACATGATGTCTTGGCATCATTTTACGAGATAGTTTTCACACTTTTACCTTGTCGTGTGTACTGCACGACATACGCTAATGGCGTGCGTACGTTCAACATTTTCAACCGAGCAATGTTTGTGGTCGTTGCGGAAGTCTTGATTCCTTACCGATGCTCCTCAGGTCTCTGACGAGAGCCTTGGCGATTCTGCCGTTATAGAAAGCGGTGGCGCTGTCGTTGGCGATAGCCTCCAGGGCGTCGGCCAGAAAAGGCTGCTTGAGCGTCTCCCCTTCCCGGTAGGGCATGTTGGAGACGTCGTTCCAGAAGTGAGCCCGGGCCCGTAGGTTTGTGTCAAACATGGTCTGGGCGCCGGCCAGGGCCGCGGCGAGCTCGGGACCCACGGGAAAGCCGAATCGCGCGAGGTTCACCGCGGGCGTGAAAAGCTCGGCCCACGGTAAACGGCCGAAGCGCCGGTGAAGTTCGCCCAGGCCGTGAACTACGCCAGGAACAGCCACCGCGCGGCCACCTGCCGGGAAAAACAGTTTGTCATTGAGTGGATGAAGCAACGTGTAAATTTGAAAAAGGACCCGCCACGGTGGTCTAATGACTAAGACACTCGGCTGCAAAACCCACTGGTCCGTGGGATCAGATCTCGGCCACATTTTCGATGTAGGCGAAAGTGATTGAGGCCAGTGTGGTTAGATTTAGGTGCACGTTAAAAAACACTTAGGTAGTCTCAATATTCAAAGCCCTCCACTACGTCATCTCTATAATCATATGGCGGTTTGGGGACGTCAACAATCATTATTATTAAAGGGGCCCTGAAGCACTTTTTTCAAGTAACCATGAAATAAATTCACTAGAAGAGCTTATTGTCTTACGAATTCAATGCCGCAAAAGTTGTAAGAATCCGCCCAGTACGAGCGGAGTTACAAAGATTTGTCGCCCGCTGCAATCGCATTCTCTCTTCTGTGGTCCCGACGACAGCGCTGGAAGCTAAGCAGGGAGGAATAATAAAATAGGTCAACCACGCCTAGTGACCTTGAGCACATCTTCCTTCGAATGCGCGGCTTTTTTAGTGTGATCGCGCGCGCACGCGTAGGCAAATAGCGGCCTCCCGCGGCGATCTCTGTAACAACCGAGCGCGGCATGTTCAAATCAGCCAAAGGCTGATAGATGAGCTTTGTACGAGTTATTTTTCTGCGTCTTCTGTCCTTTGTCGAGAGAATAATTTTTTTTTTTGCCGATGTGATATATTGTGAATTAGAGGCCGCATGCTGCGCTATAATATTTGGTTCGCGTGTTATCGGCAGCCTCTACTACCGATCAGCAGCGTTTTCTGACCATGCTGAAAAAGTGTTGCAAGGCCCCTTTAAATTCGAAATGGCGTGTTGGCAGATTGAGTTTGTGTGGGCCGCTTTATAATCATTCCAATTGGCTTCAGAGTGTGACATCTTCTAATAGGAAAGCAAAAAAAAAATGAGCAGGACTGCAACAAACAAGATTTTATGCAGCTTTTCGAACGCGGCTGAAGAGAAAGCATCTTTGGCTTCTCCACACAAAGACCATTAATGCAAAGAAGCAAGCTTTCAAGGCTCTTGAAGTTGCCGAGCAGATTCTTCGAGACTGCCAAGGTCCGCCTATATGGGTTCGTGTGTGGTTATTGTTTATTGAAAACATGCAGATATTTTTGTCATTTAGTTATCTAAGACACATTTAGACATCGCGAACGAAGAGAGTCAATTCACCACCACTTGCGCTATGCTTCATCTGACACAAGCTCATCTATTGTTCTCTTAACCGCTGCTGCGTGCATTTTTGCTCGATATACACACCGGCGTAATAGCCGGCGCCCGAGTTATATGACGCAGAGACATTGCACACGAGTTACGAACAGCTCTTTAATGAGTCACCTGCAGAAATTATAGGCGTTAAGCATTATCTTACTGCTGTGAAATAAGGTACAACATTTTTTTTTCAGCTTTCTACTACCTTTCCAGTTGTCTGACACGCCGCCATTGTGTAAAAAAAAATAAAAGAATCAAGGTAGCTTTGCACTAGTAATGTCAACCATGAAGGAAGCGCAGGCGGCCTTTTCTACTTCTTAATCTCTATTGCTCCCTTTTCCCGTATTCTTTCTGTATTTTTTCATTTCTTTACTTTTGGTCTCTGTTTGTTTCTATTACTTCATTTGTCTCGCTTGATTGATTCCTTCAAAAACATAATCATATCGTGGCTATTTCTCTTTCTTGCCTTTATCTCTCCATTGATTTATCTTTTTTTTCATTTTATTTTCTCTATTTCTGTCTTTCTTCTTTGTTTTCGTGCTGTGCTTCCCTCATTTCCCTACTTTTCTCGCTATTCCTCCTCCTTAACCTCTCACATCTGTACTGTTCACCTGAAATTCCCTTTCCAACGTCCTTGCTATATCGTACAGTACAAGGTTAAGCTGTGCCCTGCTATGGGCACTCGGACAGCCGAGTGGCTACAACGCTCGCCTGCGGATCGTGGGCACGGGGGGTTCGAACCCCGCCTCGCCAAAAAATGTATCTCTTCTTGCTTCTATCTTTCTCTAATCTCTGTGTACTAATTATCTCGCATATCAAGTTACTGCAAGCCCATGCACGTCGGTTAAATCGACGCACGTGATCTGGAAACGAAGCGAGATGGTGAGGATGTCAACGGATCGATTGATTGATATGTGGGGTTTAACGTCCCAAAACCACCGTATGAATATGAGAGACGCCGTAGTGGAGGGCTCCGGAAATTTTGACTACCTGGGGTTCTTTAACGTGCACCCAAATCTGAGCACACGGGCCTACAACATTTCCGCCTCCATCAGAAAGGCAGCTGCACCACAGCCAGGATTTGAACCCGCAACCTGCGGGTCAGCAGCCGAGTACCTTAGCCACAAGACCAACGCGGCGGGGCAGGATGTCAACGGAGAGAGCGCGTGAAGGTTCACGACAATGACATCTGTTCGCACTACCCGGCGCAACGAAAAGTTAAACAGCTCATCTGTCACAATATCGTTAGCGATTGAGTGTGTCACAATTTTGTTTGTTTCTTGCCTCTGCAGTTCGCGCTAGAGAAGTATCGATAGATTATGAGCTATCCCAAACATGCAATTCTTTTTTCTTTCCCCGTAGATTCAAATCTAGCAAACATATCCCTGGTTTTCACGTCTGATTGATCAAAATTCTTTTCTTAGTTTTTAAATATATACCAAGCGCACCTTCGAGCCGGAATACTGACAGGTATACGAAGTGGAATGCAAGTATTTTTATGTACGCGTGTCACCTACGTACGGTATCATAAATCCTAAAAGCTGCACTGCGCGTCGACAAAGTAAGTGGAAATGACCCAGACATACTCACAAAATATGTTTGTCCTAACAATACTGATTGTTGGCCTAGTTTGTACTTGCTTAATGACATGCTTCGGTCGCAATGCAAAGGAACGCACACAAATTAATGCAACACTTGCGCTTGTCGTTGAGTGTTCATTTACTTTGTGTATGTTCCTTTACATTGCGGCCGAAGCAAGTCATTAGGTATGTATGTCCTGCACTTGGGCTCATTCGAGCTCAGCTATACTGAGTCGGGCTCACTCAAGACTCGCACTCGGGGGTCGGTCCGGGACTGAGCTAGTCTATTCACGAGTTTGCGCGATCCCATAGTAAACCGAGCTTTTCTGCTATGCAGTTTTGCTCAACAATGGCGGCGAGACATTTATTGCGAACAGCGCGTTTGAGGGACACTTTGTCTCTCCAATGATGTGGGAAGTGTATATAGTTGGCTCTCTCAGCATAAATACGCACGATAGATAGGCCCCAGCCGGTGCAGCTATAGGAACCTCGTCGCCACCTGAAACGTGACAGGTGCCGGCATTCGTTGGGCAAATATGTAGTGCAGAGAAGCGCACTTGCTGATTATGAAAAAGGGTTTGTAATGACATTAAAAGGAGAGGCACTGTAGTGTATGAAAAATCAACTAGCTGCTGGTAGAGACTGAACCTACAACCTTCATATGACGTGTCCGAGAGGCACCGGCTGACCCTCCCGTTATTACAGAAACATAGATACTCAATAAAACGTAGGGGAAATTGGCAGCCGCTGAAGCTCAGTTAGCCCATATATGCTCACTGTCCTACATGTAGGACGGTGAAGCTCTTCAGAGTAACTCGAATGATTTTTTTGTAAAAAAAAGCAGCGCCACCTAAGGTGTGTTTATGATGCCCTGTCCTCGTCACATGCTAGTCTAGGTGATCGCTGGGCTACCAATAGCCACGTGCTTGCAGTCACACTATGCCTATTTTACGTGCATGTAGCTGAGTGCCATACTGGGAAAACAAAATATTAGTAATTATAGAGTCAAATGGTTCTCGATGCTGCTGATATTTTTGTCGATTGTTTGTCAATTATTGGATGTGGGGTAACTTTCGTATGACACTGATAGGCGCTAATGTTTTTTGTTCGCGATGTGTTAAACATAGATGTTCTACATACAGGACGGCTCCAAAATCATTGTCTGAGTTTTTTTTTTTTTTAAATAAAAGCCTTATTCTGTTTTCTGAGGTCGTAGAAGCAATCATTTCGGGGAATCAATTAGCTCTGTCAATTTTCCTAAGCTTGGGCATATATGGGTTAGTAAAGCACCAGACCCGTTATCAGAATTAAGGTTGTAGGTTATGTCCCTACCTTCGGCAAGTTGGTTTTTCATCCAGTTTAATAGCACACAAATAATGTCGAAGTTACTATACTACAGTTAAAAGCTGGTTAAAACACGCGTAACGGTTGTCAGGTGTTTATAGTACTCGTTCGCTCACCCGCAAATCGCGGTATGGAATCCCCCTCTTTTTCCTTCTCTCGCGCTAGTTGGGTCGTCATCACATGACAAATACAGTGCACGCACACCTCTAGAAGACAGACACAAGAAACGCGGCACTTATGCGTCTTACTCCTTTAAAGTAGAGTGGTCTACTGGGCGAGCAGGTATAGACCCACGGGGAGACTTAGCGCGTTGAAAACAGGACACAGAGAAGAAGACAGGGAGTCACGTGCCTGCTCTGTGTGTTGTTCCCTGTATCCTTTCGTCAAAGCGCAAAGTCGTGTTGCTCTGGCGCTTGTTTTCATGAAGTGTACACGTTGCATTTGCCTACTACTTCAACTGCTTAATCAGAGCGTCGTGGTAGACGATCGCTTACCAACGACTGCCTCCTCCGTGTTCTGAATGAACATGTCCGGCCTGGCTGCCAAGGGGGCCACCTCGCGGGCATCCAGAACGTGCGTCGCGTTCTCCTTCCTGCGATGCACGTTGCTTTCAGTTTGGGGACAACGGGCACACCTATAGGTGACGTCGGATGGATGGATGGATGGATGGATATGGCTGTACCCTTTAGATCGGGCGGTGGCTAGCGCCACCAAGCCGTAATACTTAATGAACCAAAAACTATATTTATTTTTTTTCCTTAAAAAGTGAGTTTGAGGATTCGTACTTTGCAGTGAAGAGTTTAATTTTCACTCGTGTCTTGACTTTAGCCACCAATCAGATAACCTCCTTCTGGTTAAGTCTACCCGCTTAAAGTTTATTTTGCCCTCCCGGTCCCTAAACCCCACTGCTTTGAAAAACTTTGCGCCATCATCCTGAACTATAGGGTGAAGCCCTTTACAGAACATTATCAAGTGTTCGGCAGTTTCTTCTTCCTCTCCACACGCACTGCATACTGTGTCTACCCCTTCGTATTTGGCCCGATATGTCTTGATTCGCAGTACTCCCGTCCTGGCCTCAAACAGTAGAGAACTACCCCGAGTATTATCATAGATCCTTTCCTTGGCAATTTCCTGCTTAAAAGTTCGATAGATCTCTAGTGCGGACTTCTTAATCATGCCCATTCTCCACATGTCAGTCTCCGTTTCCTTCACTTTCTTCTTAACCGATAGTTCTTTTTGGTTTGGCCACCTGCTGTTTTCTAAGTATTTACCAGTCAGCTTCCTGGTTCGCTTCCTCCATTTTGTATCGACATTCTTCATGTACAAGTAGCTGAAAACATTCCTAGCCCAACGCTCTTCCCCCATTTCTCTCAATCGTTTCTCAAATTTTTTCTTGCTGCTAGCTTCCCTGCCCTCAAATGATGTCCATCCCATATCACCTTGTACTCCCTGATTTGGTGTATTCCCGTGAGCTCCTAAAGCAAGCCTACCTATTCCACGTTGCTTAATTTCTAATCTTGCTTGAACTTCTGATCTCATGCACAAGACCGCATTGCCGAACGTCAGCCCAGGAACCATGACCCCTTTCCATATTCCTCTCACAACATCATACCTATTGTAATTCCACAGTGCCCTATTTTTCATGACTGCTGCATTCCTGTTACCTTTAGTCGTCACGTATATTTCGTGTTCCCTCAGATACTCGGTCCCATTGCTTATCCATACGCCCAGATATCCATACGCCCAGATATCCATACGCCCAGATATCGGATAGAGAAAGGATACGCCACCTGTCGTAGATGAGCGCAATGAATCCGCCACCGATGCCGACAGCGTGGGGCAGCACGACGCATGCGCAAAGGAACGTCGCAATCGCCGCGTCTGCCACCGACCCGTTGCGCTCGAAGATGAACCTGCATGTAATAAAAAAAAAATAAGTGTAGATAGAATAAGAAGAAAACGAAGGAAATAACAGGATGTCTAGAGGCGACATCCTTATTAATCTCTGGGTTGCATCTTATTTTCTAGTAAGTATTGGGTAGTCAGAATGGCAAAGCAGTTTGCACCCTCAAGAGTGCTTTGTCACGTCTATGTCGCCCTACAATAAGGGCGTTTTGACAAACCAAACACCATTGTCATGGGGTTTTTTTTTTCGGTGTTTGAAAACACTCTTGACATGGGTGTTTTGGTTTGTGGGGTGTTTTCGATAGTGCATTAAGAGGACGTCTTCAGATCGTGGATGAAGAGGTTCGAATGTCAACTCGTCAAGAATTTTTTCCCCAAGAATGTCCATCTCTTTCTTTCTCTCTTTTTATCTGTTTCGTTTTTCTCTGCACTAGTTCTTTTGCTCAAGAGTTATTACATCCCGCACCGGACCAATCGTGTTCTGGGAGCGAAGCGGAAGATGAAGAGGACGGAGATAGCACGTGGCCGTTCATCATGATGATCATCATGTTTGTTGTCGTTGTTGTTGTTGTTGTTGTTGTTGTTGTTGTTGTTGTTGTTGTTGTTGTTGTTGTTGTTGTTGTTGTTGTTGTTGTTGTTGTTGTTGTTGTTGTTGTTGTTGTTGTTGTTGTTGTTCGCAGATTACAACAGACGGCTGGCATAAACTGCTTCGCCATTAGAAAACTTCTAAGCGATCTTTGCGTCCTACCATGCGGTCTCCAACATGTCAATTTCGGTGACGTCAATGCCAGCTCTCTATATAGCGTATGTCTCTTGACGTGCAGCAAAAAATCGCTCGCTGGATTCCGTGCCGACCGGTTGTGCCCTCGCGATCTCCGACGTCAGCGTAGCTCTGGCCGACTTGGCTCGCCCTACGTCATTTCCTGACGCCAACCTCCGACGACAGTGTATCTCTGACCGACTGGGCTTGCTCTACGCCATCTCCTGACGCCGACAAGAGCTCTCGCAAGTGGTGCCCCGTCCTCGGACTCCTGTGACCGTGTTTCCATCTTTCTTATCTCTTTTATCCCCTCGATATGTCGTCACTCTCACGCTTTCACGCTTACTTCATCTCTCTTTCTCTCTCTCTACACCTTTATTCCTATCTTTTTATTCCCTCCTCACCCCCATCCCTTGTGAGCTACTGTTGAGGTGTCGCTCGCTGAAGCAGACAGTTACGGGGCTCACTTTTCTCTTCCTTTCTCTCTTAGAACCACTTTGAGTGTGTGCAGCAAAAGCGCGCGCACACACCTTGTGACGGGCGCGCATTGAACGGCGTCGGTTGCGGCCGCATAGGAGCGGAAGTCGCCGCTGCTGGACAGCTGGGCCTCGGCCGCCCCCCGGGAACCGTGGTCGGAGTAGCGCGTCCACAGCGCGTGCACCGCCACCGACAAGCCCACGCACAGGCCTACCGTCACAATCACCACCAGAGCGAGGCACTCCCACGGAATTTCCAGCCTGCACACGTAGGAAAAAAAAAAAGCCGTACACGCATGCGCAAGACGTAGATGACTTAGTTAACAATTGAGAAGGAAAGCTCAACTGGTTCAATAGACCTTTCTTTATTCACTGGTCAGCGCAGACAGACGGAAGCGGACGTTTCAGTGCAATATAGTGGTTATTCAGACTGTTCGTGTATGTCGATAGAAAACCGTTCGTATGAGTTCATAGGACAACACGGCAAACTCGGACTATTATCTCTTTGCCACCCCATGCTACGCTATACTGTACATGGCTATCTTATGGTTTAACCTCACACATCCTTTTCCTCCTCCTCCTCCACACTCTATCATCAGTCCTCCACAGCCTCGGCTTCCTTTCCATATCTTGCTTCACTGTACAAGGATGTTTCACCTCTCCCTCCTCCCTTCTCTCCTCAGATTCGCGTCTCTTTCCCACCCTCTTGCTATGCATGGCTACGCTATGCTAGGAGCGGCTTGGCACATGCCAGCTTTCTGTGGCGCATAACTACCCAGTGTTGTGCGTACAATGCCGTAGTTTTGCCAAGCTTAAATGGCTCAACTGCTGAATGGCGCAGTGGCTTGTTACAGCGGTATTGTGCAAAATATGGACAACTCGTGTCTATGTGGGTTGCCCCCGTAGTTAGTGTGAACAAAGACTGAAGTGACCCAGTTAACTTTGGTGACCTTGTTTTTTTACAAGGTCACCAAAGGTAGGGTTTCCTAGTGGGAAAAAAAACGAGAGAGAAAGAATAACGTTTAACAAGCATCACCACGTACGGCGTGAATACAGGCTGGTACAAAAAACGTCGCCTGAAAAACAGATCATGTGTTGTCATCTATGCGATGTTGGAGGTTAATGATTTCATTACAGCTTAGTTAGAATAATAAAAGCGTCTAACGGCTTCTGAGACAAAGGAGTCTTGTTTATGAAGGTATTAACCCAAAATATATTAAGAAACCAGCAAACGTGTTCATTATATTGTACCATTGTAATCAGGTAATCACACATTTCTTCTTTACTGTTCTTTATGTGATAACTGTTATTCTATACTTCAGTCGCCTTCCTAAGGTTTATGAAAATAAGAGACAACCATATTGCGAGCATGCGAATCTTGTCTTTCCATTGTCCCTTTAACAGTGTAACGCAGCAAACGAACGATTATGTGGCGAAGGGCCCAAGCTCACTGCACTTATACCCCTGTCACATGGGCACCCGCGAAGACCGTTAACTCCCTCGTCTTTGCGACAACGAAGATGCGGTCCGTGTCACACGGCCACCCTTACCCAAACGAAGGTAAACGGAGCGTTTCGCAAAGGACGTTCAACGATCTCCCTTCGCAGCGAAACGAGGTACTCTCGTCCCCAGCAGTCTAGAGGTCAGAGAAAAATTTCGAGCACTAAGTGGCCGGAGTGAAAGAATAATACATTTTGGAAATCTTAAACGTTCTTTCGTTGCAGTACTCATTCACAACGCGTGTTTGTTTACATATATTTACGCCCGCCAGACTTCACTTACTCTCAACACCGATGCTCTACACTACGTGCCTGGCACGTGGTGCCTCGCGAGTCGGGCCGGCCGGCGCCATTGAAAAATATTTCGTCCATGCGTGTGGTTGTGGTCGTCACTGTGTCACTCATGGTTGAAGGACACAAAATGTGCGCTCACGAGGCAAGGAAGCACAAGAACTTTCGTACACAAACATGAACACAGGCAACAAAACAACTAAAAGCACAATGTGGCCAGCGTCAATAGCAGCATCGCTACATTTAGCGAATTCGTTTTTTTTTAATATTTTTATGGTTTGTTAGCCTCTTACCTCCTTAATAGTGCTTTTTTTGTAAAAACCCTAGAACGAGGATTCACAAAAAAATCAATAGAGATGAAATTAGAATACTTTTCCGAAAATCAAACAGCGCCAGCTGAGCCCCCTCGCGCCAACTGTTACAACCTTTTCGTTGCCGTGTGACACTGCCACAACTCCTTCTCCGTCGAACCACCTAGGGGAGATTTACGTTGACGGTGTTCAACGGAGTTTAGTGTTTGCCGTGTGACAAGGGTGTTAGATTGTCACGGAAGCCCGTGCAGTCCAGCTATACGACACTCCAAACGTCTGCCCCCATACGACAAGAGAGGTAGCTTACAGTATGGCGGCAACGGCGGAATTGGGCCTCGCTGGGGGAACCGCGGGGCTCGGTGCACCGACTTGCGAGGAAGTGTTCGAGTCCGTCATTGAGGAAGCCGACAGGACGCTCGCTTCTCGCGTGCTACGACTTCTTCATCGCCTCACGAAGCTCGCGTTCTCGGGCGCAGCTCGAGAAAGATGACGACGACTACACCGACAATGATGGCGATGATGACGACGACGACGATGACGATGATGACGATGATGACGACGACGATGATGATGATTATGATGATGTCCTCTTCCTCATGGCGCTCACCCCTAAAGGTTGATACGCCAAGAACCGCGTGGCGGGATGTTTCCGGTTAAGACATATTAAGCTAAGAACCACTCAAAATTTTCACTGAAACAGTGAAACATCCAACAAATGAAAATGCTTGACGGGCAAGAGATCAGCAGACTATCAAATAGTATTTATGACAGCGATAATGACAGATTTGGAACCAAGCATATGAAGAAGTAGAAGAGAATAACGCGGATATCTGTTCTGCTGTACAAAGATTCTTAATCGAATCAATGCGGTTTTGATTGCGAATCTCTCAATTAGTAAAATTTGATTTCTTTTAACAATTTATTTTAATACGCGCATCGAGTTGCAGGAACTCTGATGGGAGTGAAAAGAAGTACAGAGAGAATTTAACCTGCGTGCCAACGATCCAAAGGCGAGCGATCGTAACCACTTGGCTATCCAGGCACGCTGAGCATAGCATAACCTTGTATAGTATAAAGCGTATAGCAAGAGGGTGAAAAAAGGAAGTCAGGTTCAGGAGGAGGATCGAAAGGAGAAGGGAACATCGCGAAGTATAGAATATTATTATATAGCATGGGGGTGAGAAAGGGAAGTCAATGTGAGAAGGAGAATAGCAGGAGGGGAGTGGTATAACATAGGATAGCCTTGGTGTCAAGAGAGGCGGGGACAGGTCCCATATTTTCACTTAATTGGGGTGGTGCCCTGCGATCGCCTTTTGCCACCCTTTCTCTCGCATGGTAAATCAGCGCACGCCAATTTGGGTGTTCGTGTGGTATAACTGTGCGTTGTATTCGGTCCCTCAATGCTGAAGCAAATTATGTTTTCCTTCACTGGTAGCATTTATATAATTTTTTTCTGTTTCTCGTGAGAAAAAAAAAAGCCTGTTATAAGATCAGCAACACCACGTGTTATGGGTGTTTGGAGTTGTAAAAACGCCCCTTTTTTTCAGGGGTGTAAGGGTGTTAGTCACACATAAACATGGTAAAAGCTTCGTAATGGTGCAAAGTGGTTTCCTCTAAAGTGTCGATGAACAGAATAGCAATTGTTTTAATTATGTACTAAATATCAGCTTCCCCGAAGTCTCGCATACTGATGAGGTTTTTACTTTAGATGTGAAACCTTGTACGCTGCCGAAAAAAAAAAGGCTATTGTGGCAAGCCCGAAGAGAGTGGGGAGCTGGTGGCCTTCCTCGCGTCTTTTCGCCTTTTCCTTTTGGCTCTTTTTCTCTTTTTTGCCTCTGATTATTTCTATTCCTTTCTTTTTCTCTCAGTCGTTTTTTTTTATTTCTCGTCCTTGCCTTTTCTATCTTTATATATGTCTCTCTATTTCTCACTGCTTTTTTTCTTTCTATCTCTATCTGTACCGTCTTTCTCTTCCTTGATTTATCTCTCCCTTTTATTTGCTGTCGTGTTCTTTGTTTTTTTTTCTATCTTTATCGCTTTTTTTCATCTCTTGCTCTTTGTGTTTATTTCTGCCTCTGTCGTTCTACACTTTTTCGGCCTGTCTTTCTTTTCTCTAAGAACCCGTTCCCTCTCCCATCAGAATTACTGCATCCCACGCAGGGATAAATCGGCGCACTTGTTTCAAGAGCGAAGCAGAAGGCAAAGAACATGACAAAGAAAGCTCGTGTCGATTCGCGACGATGATAATATTTGTTGGGACTAACGCAGGTTTAAATATCTCCGCTGTTAAAAACTGGATCGGACGCGAAGAAATGACCGAGCAGACCTACACAAGATGACAGAGCGCTCGTTTTGGATAGGTCGTTTAGGAAGGCCGTCCATACAAATTGAAGATCACACTTGACCCTAAAGATAATATTAAATGTTTTGTCTATCTGATCTTGTAAAAAAAAAAAAACTATGGAGCGCCACATCAATACGAAAACCACTTTTTTTAAAGGTTTTTGGTTCTTGTTACGTGAAACACCCCGTATTGTCACACTTCGTTGGATGAAGTTCTAAACGTTTTGTTGTGGAGGCATTTTACTGTATGAGTGCGCTTTTTCTTTTCGTATAAGTTCTATCCGTTAGCATACGTCCTGAAAACTACGTTCGCTGGATGTCTTCACTGCACCAATGTCACTGCACGTCCTATTTACACGTCATTGATCGAGTTGCACCTTCGATGAGTCAGCAGATTAATAATGAAATCTGCGATCTTATGGGTAAAAACCACAATATGATCATGAGGTCCACCATAGTGAAGTTTTTTTTTTCTTTTTTTAAAGCTCTAGCTGACCGCACAGAAAGAACTCTGGTCTCCAGCAATCTGTCTCCATCGAAACGGGATTGGGATCGTAACCGTGACATTCGGGTCAGCAGCCCGAATGTCACGGTAATCACCATAATCACCGTACCGCCGAGGCGGACACAAGTCGGCAGATTGTTGTACACTTGGAATACGACTTTCGGCTAATTAGCTCCCACAGTCGTTTTCCATTTTAACTATTTCGCGTTTACGTTGAAAGCTGGACTCTCGCCAGCTCGCTCACCCCGAAAGGTGGGTGTCTGGAAAGGAAGGTTATTCACGAAGTTGTGTTACGTCAAGCAGCACGTACCGCGTAGCCTTAATTGTTCTTGACGTTTGAGAGCTCATTGTTAAGTTGCCCTTCGTGGCACCCGCTGCTTCTATAGGTACGCTATACCTGGGCAGCGGTGTGATTGAGCAAGTCCGTACAAAGAGATTAGTACAACTTGCACATAGTTGGGTAAGGCTGGGTCACACAAGCAGGTTTAAATAAATCTTGTTGGAGTGGAGGCCGCCTATACATACCAATGGGGTGCAGTGAAGCCGTGTCGGCCATCTTGTCATAGGCAAGATACGGTAGCCAAAGTGCGCCCACCACTTTTTTCTGCCGTGATTTTTAACGGTTATGGAGGCATTAAGTGGTAAATATTCAAAAATAAGAAGTCAAATGGCAAACAAGAATACAATAGACTTATTTTGTTTCTTTAAGCGTTTTTCTTGCAAGTATGCACACCGACAAATGGTGTGTAGCACTGGTTTTTTTTTTTTAAAAATGATGTCTCGTGAAAGATGAGCTCACTTTCTCGGCATTCATTGTCTTGTTTATTTTCTTCTTCCTGTGACGGAATTTTATGCATAAGTAGATTTCGACCACTTTCTATGCGTGGAATATAAAAGTGGGTGGGTGTACCAAGCTTCACATGTAGAAAATGATATGCTCATCGAAAAAAAAAAAAGATTTATGTATGAGGGAAAGCTGCAGTGAGCCCCCTGCCCCACTCTCATAAATGAGCTTTTAATTCTTGATCCTTTTACTTTTGCTTGATGATGAATTCTCGCTCTTTTGGTTCACTGCAATTTTTCTGTGGCAGAATTTCCTCCTGGAGCTGTTTAGCTCTCCTTAGGAAACACAAACCATTTTTTTTTTTGTAAGAGCTGGAGCGTAGTCGATGCAACTCTCACATCTTCAAGTTGAATAGAAATAACCGCGTGAGTATCCTTCGGTTATGATCGCTTTCTTTTCAGGTAGTTGCACCACAAACATTGCACAGTTCAGACACTGTTTTTTTTTCACTGCACTTCAAATAACAAAATAGGAGGCACGAATGTAAAAATATAGACAGGTGTTTATGTGTTGCCTGCCCCGCCGCGGTGGTCTAGTGGCTAAGGTACTCGGCTGCTGACCCGCACGTCGCGGGTTCGAATCCCGGCTGCGGCGGCTGCATTTCCGATGGAGGCGGAAATGTTGTAGGCCCGTGTACTCAGATTTGGGTGCACGTTAAAGAACCCCAGGCGGTCGAAATTTCCGGAGCCCTCCACTACGGCGTCTCTCATAATCATATGGTGGTTTTGGGACGTTAAACCCCAAATATCAATCAATATCAATTTATGTGTTGCCTAAACAATGTTAACAACCCTCGTGGTAGCGAGTTAAGCACCTAATTAACACAACTAAAAAGCAAAGGCGTAGCTATAAGTTGGCACACTGGACCCGTACCCCCCCCCTCCCATTCATCCCCCCGAAATTTTTTTCGCCATGGCATAGAGAGCGCGAAAAATGGTGATTTCAAGGGGGTGCCCTTACTGAAAACAACAATATCCCCCCCCCACCGAAAAAAAAAACATTTTTGACTATACGCAAGGTTTATGGCCAGACTATTTGGCGAAGATCTGTAATAGCTCACAGCGCACTTACTTCGTCCGTGTCGTGCATTGTGAGTTATTCAGGCTACGCCGCTACCTGTAATAAAAATGAAATGACGGAGACGCCTATTTAATTTGATTGATTGATTGATTGATTAGTGGTGTTTAACGTCCCAAAACCACCATATGATTATGAGAGACATCGTAGTGGAGGGCTCCAGAAATTTCGACCACCTGGGGTTCTTTAACGTGCACCCAAATCTGCCTATTTAATTTCGACGAATAGTTAACGGTGTGTTATTTTCCCACTCGCTTACCACTCTACCGGTATCAACAAGCACACGGTTGTGTTCAGTGGACATTGCAGGTGTTCTAGAAATCCACCGAGCCCCAGCAGGTCAACTTGTTGGTCACAACTGTCACTCCAAGCGCACGAATAAACAGAAAGGAAGAGAGGACAAGCGCTTGTTCGTGCGCTTGAACTGACAGTTATAACATGCATATCCAACGAGCCCAACTTTCGATTCTGTTGCTGGTCACAGTCCAGTCCGGTTGTAACAATTTGACAAGTGCCTCTAACATGTGTGATCACTGTGTTTTCGCTACCACTCATCCCGCCATCTAATGACACAAGTGTTCAACAGCACACCCTGAAGTGCTTCGAACATTTTGGTCCTTGAAAACC